TTCTCATTTCCCTCCTCACCCCTTCAGCACTGGGCAGCCACTAATCGACTTTCTATCTCTCTAAATCTGCCTATTCTGGATATATCAATGGAATCATACTATCTGAGGTCTTTCATGATCCTGAAATTGTATATATGCATACACATTTATACCTTTGTTACTCCCTAGAGCCGAAGCTTCATGAGAACACAAACTACTATTGTTTTAAATTACCATCCTATTCCCATACTTACAACAGCACAAGTCTAGCATGTGGCTGGTACAAATAAACGAGGGAAATAATACTTTTAAAAATAGTCACTAGATTTAGCAATATGGAAGTTACTCCTACGAACTCAGTGGAAATAACAATGACAGAATTGATACTAAATAAAGTGGGCTGTGGAGATAAAGAGAGAGAGGAAACAGTCATGCACAGATGACATATTCAAGGGACCTAGCTTTGAAGGCGAGACTAGATATGCATGTGAGTTTGAGGATGTATGGAGCTCAGCTTTTATGATGGTAGGACAGGAGCATGTCCTTCCCCTAAATCTTTCTCCTTGGTGGAGTTTACATTATGATACACAGCTTACAAATACACAGTACAATTTCAAGTGATACTAATGCTATAAAGAAAGTCACCAGTAGATTTGCGGAATATTCTGGAAGGCTATTGTAGCCAGAATGTTAAGAGGCAGGTCAGATCACAAGTCAGAACAGACCTGTATCTAAGCTCAAAGATATAGGTAGCACAAGAATTTTAAAAGAAAAGTACAAAATGCAATTTTAAGTTTAAAAAATACAATAAAGCAAGTTCCACCTCAAAATTACTTGGAATTCAAAATCTATCAAAAAATGAAGCCATCTGTTGAAACTATAAAAAAAAAATAGTATTTTAAATAACCTATAATACCAACTTACAACTCTGCATACTAATTGACAATCATTTGCTATATGAGCTAGTAAAGATCTTAAGTTTCACTTGTAAAAATAAAGATTCACATTTGAAGCTAAATTAACACCAGAGATCTGAATGATTTGAATTTCCATACTGTAAGTCTAGGAAAAACCAAATGTTACTTTTATAGGTAAGTTTCATAATATGTGGCCTTCATTGACAGTGAGGTTTATTTTTTTCCATAAAATCGGCAACAGTGCTTGCTTCATAAGGATACTACAAGGATTAAATGAAGTGCTGCTGCCACGTGCTTAGAACAGTGCCTATCACAAGACAGGTACTACCCACCTGTTAGCTGGGTATGTCAGAAAATGGGCAGGAATGGGCTGTGCCATTACCCAGGACAAGGCCAACAGAGCTAGAGCATCTTTTGCACCCTCTCCCTCAGGCCCAAAACCAAACCCAAGTTACTCACCTACTTACAAGGAATCCACCGGCCACATGAGAATCACCTATGGAGCTTATAGAAACCCAATGCCAGGGCCCCAAGCCAAAACATTTAAGTAAAAATGGGAGCATCAGTCTAGTCTCAAGCAGCCCCAAGTAATTTTAATGTAAAACACTCTCAACTCATGTCTGACCTACCAACAGCCAATCCACTCCTGCAAAAACCTCAGCAGAGGCCAGGAGGACTCTAACTCACTCAAGGCCACCCCATCAGTATGCCGAATAAAGGCCAAGATCCCAGAAAAACAAGATCCAAGAAAAAGCCTGCCAAACACAAAAGAAAACATGACAGCAGGGTAGGAAGATGTTAACTTCATCTGTCTCATCAATAAGCATTTACTGCTTACAAGGCATAAAAGCCAAAAAGAGGAGAAGGGAAAGCTTATAAGGGCAGCAGGTCATTGCAGGTGACTCAGCATTTTCACTAGCACAAGATCCAAAGCTAAAACCATGCAAGCATACTGCCGCTGGCTGCTTCCTTCTAACACTCTCTCAGAACCCGTAACAGAAGCTGGGAGAAGAAACCAGCCACCCAAGAAAGGCTGCATGAACTCAGCACTCAGCACATGTGCCTGCTGGTGGCATCTCCAAGGAATCAATCACTTCAGGACAGTCTGGCTACAGTTCCAATGTGACAAGGCACAAAGGGCTCTATCTAAATTCCTTCTCCTCATCCCACCTACCACTGAGAACACAGGTTCGCTGGGTCTGAGTAAAATCATCCTTTAATCTTGCTAATATTAAAAGGGCTCAGAGTTGGAGGTGTGAACATAAGCTCTGGCATCAGAAATCTCTGGGCTGGAGTCGGCTATCCTAGCTAGCTGAGTGGCCCAACCAATGTCACTGTGCCTGTGTCCCTATTCACACACTGATATAATAACATCCCCTCCACAAGGCTCCTGAAAGGATGAAATGAAATGATGGTAGCCAGGTGTGGTGGCACACTTCTTTAATACTAGCACTCTGGGAGGCTAAGTCAGGAGGATCACAAGTTCAAGCTCAACCTAAGCAACTTAGCAAGACACTGTCGCTGGGGATGTAGCTCAGTTCAGAGGCCCGGGTTCAATCCCAGTATTGCAAAAAAGAAAAAAGAAAATGAGATGATGCATATCAAACATTTAACAGTGCTGACCCGTACCACACACCAATCCAGGTTATTTTAATCTCCATTATTATAATGTAGAAGAAACTAAGTCAGACAACTTAGAACAGCAAAAAGTAAAGACAAAGCAGAAGGAGTAACAAGGTGATGCATCTTTTCCCTTTGTTTTGTTTTGGGGGTGATGCATCTTTAAAACTATTAATTCAGTAACCACTGGACTTGACTGTACAACTACCCTCAGCTTCCTGCTTAATTAAGAAAAAAATAATCTGTTGTCTAATTTAGGGAATGCCATCTGTAGAAGATATTAAAGGGGAAAGAAATCTTACCTAAATGAGAAAAACTGAATAATTTCAAAAGTATTAAATGGTTTTACATTTTCTTACTTTTCTGTAATGTTAGATATCACCTATACTTATTAAAATACTTCAAGATTATTTCAATACACATTTAAAATAAAATCTGCCAGGTGTAGTGACACACACATGTAGTCCCAGCTATTCAGGAGGGTGAGGCAGGAGAAATTGAGTTTAAGGCCAGCCTGGGTAGTTTGCTAAAAACAAAACACTCATCACAAAAACACTAAATAAAATCTAAGAAGACTAAAAATGACTATGTCATTTGCAAGAAAGAATAGAAATACTTTTTTTTGCACATTTAGTTGCTCAGTTAAGCCAGTTTTTAGAGGCCCACTGTCACTGCAAACCAGTAGAAGTGAAAAGGATAGAGTGCAAAAGAAGGCATTCAGAAACACTAGATCCTGATCCAGCTGGGACTCGTTGCAAGAAGAAAAGAAACAAAGGCAAAACAGAGATAGCTGTATCAAGCAGCTTTGCTTTTGTCATTCACAGACAAGAACCAAAAATTTGGAATTCCAATGTTTGCAGGGTTACTTTAAGGATTAAATGAAACTGGGTATGATGGTGCACACCTGTAATCCTAGCACTCTGGGAGGCTGAGGCAGGAGGATTCAGGTTCAAGCCCACCCTGGGCAACTGATTTAATGAGACCTTGTCTCGAAATAAAAGACTGGGATGTAGCTCAGTGTGAAGTCACTGGGTTCAATGCCCAGATGCCCCCACCGCCTCAATTAAATAAAAAGCACAAGTAAAATGTTGAGAATTACTTCATTGGCAGCAGAAGGGCATCCAGACCCTGGAGTAAAAATGTGAGTTAAAAAATTTAATTCACCACTTAACAAACTGTGTGACCTTGAGCAAGCTGGTTAGCCTCTCTGCACCTCAGCTTTCTCATCTTTGAAATGAGGATAACAGACCCTAACCTACTTGTGGAGGGAGGGGATTACATGAGTTAAGGCCACCAAAGCAATTATACCTGCTAGCCCCTCTCATGCCCCGTGTAGCTCCTCCCTGTGCCCAGCTGACACCCCTCTTCCTCCTCCTGCTTCCTTTCCACTCCCATGCCTTTCTCCAGTCCATCCCATCTGGCACCCACCCCACCTCTGCCCCACTTTTCCCTGTGCTCTAGCCTGCCACACCCCCACCCTGCTGCCAGCTCTCTCTGCATTTGCCCCATGCTGCTCCCCTGGCCTGCAGCCCACCCTCCCACCTCACACCCCTGTGCCCACTTACACTCACGTACTTTTTTTCACACAATAAAACTCCAAAAGCTCCAAATGACCAACTGCAAGCCCTCCCATGAAGTCTAGTCTTAGTGACATGCCGTAAGTTCCTAGAGCACACTGGGTTTCCATCCAACCCAGCGCTATCATGTATGTATACGGCAGCTCTCCATTACTTCTCTGCCCCACCACAGGTCCCCCAGAAGGAAGACTCCTTAGATACAGGTCCATCTTGCTACAGCAGGACCTAGCAACAACCGAACCCCTCAAATGTTTGATAAATGCCTGAATGAAGGAATGCGTTTGATTCTTTTCTTTCTATAAACTCTTTTCAGTCAAGTGTTCCTTGTAAGACCTACTGAAGAGATTCCCATTACCTGGTAAGCATTAGCAACAGAAACACTTTCTGTCCAGCTCATTTATTCCTCAGGACCACTTGTGATCTCAAACCTTCTTCTTCTTCCCCCTCCATGCATCCCCAAATAGTCCCCACACAATCTCTCTGCCATACCTCAGACCCTGGTCTGCTCCCATCAGCCTCTACAGCAATGCTTCTCCATTTGGAATAGCCTGCCACAACCTCCATCAGGTCATACACCACAGGAGTAAGGTCTTCCCTGACCACATTATTTAAAATTGCGACACCCCGACTCCTTCTGCCACAAACACACATGGGTGCCTGTGCTCACTCCTTCTCTGATTTAGTTTTCCTCCCAGAACTTACCACCATCTGACACTGTACATGATTTACTTATGATCTCCCCCCAACCAAGAAAATGAAAACTTCATGAGAAATGAAGAACAGGGCCTGGTACATAGCAGGTTCTCAGTATTAACTCTTGGTAGCTGAAAAACTCCAAACCCTACAATAGGTAGTAGGTAGTTTTTATACATGAGGAGTCTGAGCACACAGTATTTACATAACTCACCTGTGGTCACGGCAGAGCAAGGATGTGAATCCAGGCATTTTGATTCTAGGGCCCACATCCAACAGCTATGCTTTCCTGCCTCTCAATCTGACCCACATAGTAATTAAAAGACAACATCATATCCTTGGAGCATATGCTAGCATTGCACGTCTTTAGGCCACTGAAAGCAAAAAAAGCCATCCAACAAAAAACCTTCCATCAGAGCAAATCACCCAACTCCCAAGTCCTCCATCGAATAAAGTACTAATTATCAGATTTATAGTTCATACAGCACTGATAGTTTTTCCTCAGATCTAATAGTTCAGTACGGAAAAGAACATACCCTGATCATGCCTTTTTATACTACAATATCCTCATGAATGGCAAGATGACAAATCAACATGGAGAAGGCCCAAGATAATATATATTAAAAGGCAAAAATATGGTGGTAGGGTTGGGGGAGAAGTACGAACTACAAAGTGCCACAAGGAAACTTTCTGGAATAATGAAAGTGTTCGATATCTTAATTGTGCTTACACCAGCACACAGACTTACACTTAAAATGAACACAATTTTATAATATGTAAATTATACCTCAATAAAGTTGACTAGAAAGCCATCACTACTATCGGACATGATTTTTGACTAAAACTATTCCACAAAAAAAAGAAAACCCCACAAATACTACCACATTCCCAAGACAGATCCAAAAATATGCACAAGAAGTTATGCATTAGCTCCTGAGCATTACTGTGTACTTCCCAAACTGGATGTTGAGAGACAAAAGAAGTAATACGACGAGGCAGCAAGGAGTAAAAAGCTCCATTCAATGAGATCCAATGGGCTGGCCAATGTGGTGCAGAGCCCTGCCGGAACATAGCCAAAAACTGCTACCTCGACCAATGAGCAACATCACCTGTGTCCTCCTCCTTAAATGCTTTGGGTCACCTCTGAACAGAGTCCACAGGCAGCCAAGGTGAAAATGAAAATCACTGCTCTTCTCCACAAGGGCCTCTACCATGTATTTGACCAGTGCCAAATCTGTTAAAGTGTCTGAAGTCTTACTTTCAAGAATCAAAAACCAACTCTTAAGCTCAAAGGGAGAAGAGGTGTGTGTGTGTGTGTGTGTGTGTGTGTGTGTGTGCGCGCGCGCACATTTAAGAAGACTTTTGAAGAATTTAAAGAATCTATAATACCAGAGTACCAACACTATCAGCTAGCTTCAATCAAAAAAGTACCTGTGTGCACATGGCACGGCACCCCATAGACAAGGCCAAGACTAGACCTGGGCTCTAAAAACAGCATAGTCACTACCACCAAACACCCTCCCCATGGGCCTCCATGGGCTCCTGCCTTCTTCCCATTGCCTGCCTCCACCCTCTGGTTCACACTGGGGGAGAGGAAGGGAACCTGAATAGCTCTGCCTGCTACAGTAGGAATTCTCCAAAGAGCCAGGGCCCCAGAAGACTGGCAATACGCACTGCAGACACAAATGGGTTATTCCCTACCCTGCAAGTCCTATTGATACAGGCCAGCAAGTAGGAAAGGTTTTCAAAATCATTAACAACAACAACAAAAAATCCTCAAGGATGTAATGCTACTTGGTATGGGCAGGGATCTTGTTCACATCATTTAGTGTTTTACTCAGTATATTAATTGGTTTCAAAAGCCACAAACCTATCATCCTAAGTTAGAAATAACTCAATAACAACCTTTCCTAATTAAATTAATTAACAACCTTTCCTAATTAAAAGAAAAGCAATTCAAACCTGAAGTAGCAGACAGGTTACTAGAATCTTGAACACTATAGAAAAAGACCCTTAGATCTGAAACTGTCATGCAATGATTATTAAAATACGTAATTCTATCTTAAATGTATTACAATTTTTTTCTTCTTAAAACACATTTTTAAATGCATGTTCTGCTTAAAAGAATAATTCTCAAGAGGTACTTCTCCTAGCTTGAATTTCAAAATAAGAAAAAGAACGAGCTGTGAAAAGCTATTAACACTGATTCAGAATGACGGACTACAGCACTACCAGCACTGATGTCAGATTCACTACAGATAATTTTACCTCCAACTTAACACATTTTACCTTCTAAATGAAGAGAGCCTTTCAGCAACCTCACTACTACTCTTAAGTTATATTGTTAATATACGAAATAAATTCTTAGGACCAGGATACACTCCTAAGAAACAAAAAGGCAGAAATACTCTAGGTCCCTGATCAGACCATTCAATCCATCTTGAACTCTGCCACATGAGATCAGAAATAGACACAGGCACATTCACAGAATCCAGTGTTCCTTTGCAAATCATTAGCATTTTAATCTCTCCACACTACTTTCTTCAAGACTGATATACGTAAGGGCCAGGGATTTAGCTCAGTGGTTCCGCCGCCTGCCTCGAAAGCGCAAGGACCCGAATTCAACCCCCAGTACCAAAAAGAAAAAGATTTACATATGTACAGTTTTAAATGCATTAGTTTGTATACGGGTGACTTTATAAAAAAAATTTAGGCAAACAATAAAAAAGTGAAAGTTTATGTCCCTTAAAATTTTTTTTTTTTTTAACAATAATGAAAAAGGACTCAGAAGCATGCTGGATAACAGCAGGAAGAACTAAAGCTTCTAAATAATTCATGTATGATTCAATAGCTGACCACTGAAGTTCTACTCAATACATACTGTATTTGAGCACCTAATGCATCAGGATAGACACTAAAGTGGACATGAAGTAAGAAGATCTCAGGGGAATGCTAATCTAACAGGAAAGAAGTAAACAAGCAGCCAGTATGTAATCTGAAACTGAGCAATAAAAGTAAGCAAAACTTTGGAGAAGCAAGGGAGAGAAAGAGCCCTCTAGAGAGGGGAAACAGTAAAGAAGTTCCACAGTGGGCGCTGAGGGCAGTCAGAGAGAAAGTGGGCATCCCAAGGGGAAAAGCTGAGCCGAAACTACAGAAGCCTTCAACTTCACCTCCATTATTTAAGCCAATTTTTAGTTCAGTATTATTACTTGTCAGAGAACCCTGACAGAACATAAATTATGAGGTCAGTTTCTGACTAATTTTTATTAGAGTTAGCAGGATTCCTAGCCATTAATTATTAGCTATAATTAGGATGATGATAAGATGGGAATACTGTAATGCAGATATTGTAAACAGGAAGAAGAAAATGAATAAGATCTGCTGTAATAAGTGGCTACAGGTAAAAACAGAAAAGGAAATACTGATAAAATTTTTTAAAAATTGTGATCAACAGCCACTTCTTGGAACCAGAAACAGAATCAAAACTGTAAGTGTACAGAAGTCCACTAAAATGATGAGATACTTTTTTGTCTGGCACTCTTATAGACACAACTACCTAAAAATCCTTCCCACAAGTCAAAAAGTGCTAGGTAAAGTATAAGAAACACTAGTTTAAATGCATAGCTAAGTTCACAAGAAAATGAAAGTACCACTCCAAGGGCCAAAAAAATCGAAGAGGATCCCAAAACCCAGAGCAGAAAGTATAGGACTTTGAGAAATGGAGGGGGAAAGGTACTATATGTGTAAAGGGCACTTGCCCTTTGGGATATAATACAACAAAAGAAAACGGAAAAGATATGATTTGCCTAGCAGTGATGGTGAACCGTTAGAGCTTTCAATGATACAAACAGCTCACTGTAGCACATGTGCCACAGGTTCACCACCACTGGAATGTTTTCTTTAAATCTTGAAGACAATGGTAGCTTATATTACTTTCAACCTCATCATTTTATCTTTTCTAACAGTAAACTCCAGGATTAAAAGCACTTCTTTTGGAAAATGTCCATATTATGATTTATATTTACTAAGGGTTTCTTGGACATTTTTCACCACACGCTTAAGTCAAGTAAATCAGATGTAAATTATTTCCCTAAAACATCAGATTGACTAGTTTTTCAGACACTATAAAAAGAACCATCATATAATTAAGCATTTAAATTCAGTACATTTGTAACCATACCAAAGGTTTCCAAATTTTAAAACTTCTTGGTAAGACATTTGTAATTAGATTTATTAAAATATCCTTCTAGTGACTGCTATCAATAGTTTCACAGTATCTGATATATCACATAAAAACAATTATCACCGAGCTAATCTTAGAGTCCTCCATTTTTGAGTTATCATAGCAAAAAAGAACTGGCAAAGGATGTGAGGGCTGGGAATCTAGAAGCTGAGAGCAAGGTCTCTAATATTGAAGAGAGAAGCACAGCTAAAATGCAAACAAGTTTCATTTGCTTTCTACACTAACTTGAAAGCTAAAGACATGATATACTCCTTTCGCTCACTTTCACATTTTCATGGTAGCTTTGCGAGTGGGACAATTTCCACCCCCAAATTCCATAAAGCCAATTTCATTACTCAATTCACTCCAAGAAATTCCCTTATCCTTAGGCAACAGAACAAGCCAAGAAATACCAGCACAGTTTACTTAACCTTCGTAAGGGATACATTCGTCTCCACTGCATTCCTATACCTACACAATGCAGTATCTTTCAGGCTCACGTTTCCACACCCTGGGATGCCACCACCTACCTAACCAATGCTTTAATTTGTACTGCTTCCGGAATGTTTTCCCTCAACCGAGTGCTACAGGGCTCAGGATTAAGCATTTACTCTGCAAGGCCATCAAATGCAGGGGGAAATGTAATTAACTCGGAGATCAAGAGCCCAAATTTGAAACGGCTGGGGTTGTCGTGTGCTCTCCCTCGCCAGCTGATTAAAAGCCCGTGGACCAGAGTGCCTCCGCGAAAGCAGCAGTTAACTGGGGACTAAAGCTCGAGTTCAGAGAAGGGAGGCTCCGAGGGGCGCGCAGCATTCTGGGACTCGTTTCCACAGTTACCCACGTGCACCCAACCCAACCGCGTCCCGGACTACGAGTCCCAGAATTCCGCCCGCCTGCCTTTCCCCTCACACCCGGCGACTGGAGCCAGACCCTAAAGGAAACCCCTAAAGTGCCCGCCCCGCATGCCGGGGTGAATCGCACCCCCAAGGCACAGCACTGAGTCTCCCGCCGAACCTTCCCTTCAGGGAAGCTAGTCTCGAGGCATCAGCCTCCACACCTGAAGGCTAAAAATTAGACAACTGCGTCACAGACTGCCAAACCCACGGACCGCCGGGGACCCCGGCACCTTTCCTGCGCAAAACCCCCACTGGCCTCCAGGGCCCGACCCCTCGGGCTTCTGCCGCCCGCGCCCCTCCCCCGCCTTCCAGTCACGAAGCCGGAGCCCGCACCAGCGCTGACCTCGCTTCCCGCCGCTCGCTCGAGGAGAGCCGCTGCTGGAGCCAACCTCGGGACACCTCCCCCGTCCCTCCAGCCCCGCCCCCTCCTCGCCGCGCACCCCCAGGCTGCGGGCTCCCCCACCAGGGACCCAGCGGGGATCAGAGGAGCAGCTCCCACCCAGTCCGGCCTCGCGCGGACCGAATGTGGACCTGACACTCCTCCCGCTGCCCCAGCCCTTCCTCCCATTCCTCCTCAAGTAGCTCTTCACCCCCACCTCCCCTGCCCCCATCCTGCCATCCCAATCCTCCCCACCCCCTCTCCTCCCCTTCGCCACACCGTCCCACACCTGCCCCCTCCGAATCACCCTACCACCCCTCCAACGCCCCCCCGGCCCGCCGGACTCCCCAACTCTCCCTCGCACCCCAATGCCTCCCACTACCTCGCTCTACCGTTACATCAGCCCGCACCCCCTTGCCCGCCCTCCGGCCCCGCTCAGCCCCTGCCCCCGTTCCCCCACCCCATTGTTCCCCCACCCCCGCCCTCCAGCCAGTCTTCCCATTGTCCCCGCCCCCGCGCTCCCTTCCACTCACCCCCCTCGTCTTGGAGCCGCCCGCCCTCCTCAGCCCCTTGGAAGCCCTCATCCCTGCGCCCCGCTCGCTCCCGCACCCTCCTCCCCCCGCGCCGGTGCCACCTCCGGCCGGCCCGGCCCTGCCCGCCAGCCCCCGCCGCCTCCACCTCCATTCACCCCGGGCACTCTGGTCCCGGCCCTTCATCTCACGTCTGCCCCCTTCCCCCAACCCTGAAACGGAGCCAGTCCCCACCCCCTCACCTCCGCCCTCCCCGCAGGTCGGCCCCTTTCCCCCACGCCCACCCCCGCAGCGTCACCGCCCGCCTGGCCCCGGGAGGGGAAGGGGTGGCTCCCGGGCAGGGGCTCCTGGCACGTTTCGGGACGGGAGACGTGGGGCGGGGACAGTGGGACCCGAGCGGTGAGTGCTGGCGACCGCTTAGCCCGGGCCGCTTGCGCTCCGCTACTCACTGACAGCTGCAGCATCCGAGTGCATTTTCGGGCAGCTCACTCGCCGCCCGGGCCCCTGCGTTCACCTCGCGGTCTCCCCACCGGCTAACCGCACCTCTGCTGGGAGCTGAAGAGCCGCCGCCAGGCACTCCAGGTCCGCCCATCTCGCCTTCTCCACTGGCTGGCCCTCGGCTGAGGGGCCGCCCCTCTTCGTTTCTGATTTGACAAAAGGAGTGCCGTTAGTGCCGGCCTGAAGCGAGCAGCGAGGCCCCGCCCCCCAACTGGTAATGCGATTGGTTTTAGAGTCTCGTCTCCTAACTCCCCTAGCGGAGGCCACGCTCTGAAGTAGCGGATTGGGCCGAGCTGCTGTCAGTCATCCCCGGGGGGCCAAAAGCGCGTGTAGGGGCGAGGCTGGGGAATTGGTCCACCTTGACCCTGAAGCCCCGCCCCGTGATGGGCGGGATTGGAGGAGCTGGAGACCAACTGAGAAAGATGGGTCGGTGTCTGAAACAAAGCACGCGAAGTGTGGCCCGGGAGCGAGGAGGGGACGCGCACTTGGGGCAGCTGGAGTCCTGCTGCTCCGAGCT